CTCACTCCTCCACATTCCTCCTCCTGGACTGTGTTGTCTGTGGACGGACAGACAGCGGGACAGAGCTCTTCTTTTGCTTTTTGGTTAGTGTTAGCTAGCTGAGACAAAGAAGTTCCCTGGACTGTTTTTTTTCCTTTTTCTTTGGACCTCTTGAAACTGCTCTGGACTGAACACCCAGGAGAGCACCGGCAGCTGCACCTGTGGCCCACAGGGCTGGTCCTAGCCTGTGACATTTCCAGCACCAGAGACTGATCAGAGACTGAGTGAGCTGAGCTACAACCCAAGGACGGGGTTTTCTCAGTTTGTCATCTCTTTTAGAATGGCAAGGGGTCTCATTGTTTGATATTGTTTTGGTTTTATTGTTTAATAAACAGGTTTTTTCCGCCTTCCTCCAAGGAGGTATTTTTTTCCTCCCGAACCAGTTGCGGGGAGGGGCTGATTGGATCTGCTTTTCCCACCGGAGCTCCTTTGGGGGATTCTTCCCCAAATTTGCTCTAAACCTGGACAAATACATGAATTGGCACCCAACGCATGACTGGAAAAGGTGGAAAAAAGCTCTATTAATTGTGTTTGTTGTTGTTAAGGTAGTTAGTAGCCATGCTCCTTGAATCCCTGATGTCTCTGGGGGTGAAAGCCTTCATGTGGCTCTGGGCTCTAGACCTTTTTGAGGTTTCAATACCTTTCTGGTCAATAGGATTATTGTCCATAACAAGTAATTTTTACGGTAGAGGGGTACGGATTGGAATAGCTGTTGTGCTGGCCTTGGTGATAATGATTTATAAAGTGTTTACAAAGATACTGGCGTCTGTTTACAATATGTATGGTTTATGGTTTCTTCATCCTACCCTGCATCCCAATTCCAGTAGTACGTTTTGGGAATTTATTAGTAATTACACTCAGTCTGTTAGAGGAGGAGCCGAGAATAAGACTTTCCAGCCTTCCCTTTCCTTCTTCTCCTTTGGATCAGTTATGTCACTTTTTGAGAATGTTCAGTTTCCCCTGAATGTTAAAGAGACCATCTTTCTGGTATTTAATCTGGTAAGCTTCCTCTATATGGTCTGCAGCTTCTCTAGCATGAGGGCTGAGATATCCAGAGGGGCTGGTGAGATCCCTGACCCAGAAGCAGATGCAGGCGTGAAAAATCCTGAGTGGTGGGGACAATGGGAAAATATAGGCCAAACCCTGAAGGAATTTTCTGATCCTGTAGACTGGGATTTTCCATGGGAACAAATTCAGAACCCAGCTGAAGTGGGAAAATACCTAAAAGAGAAGTGCCATGACGATTCTAAGGAGAAAAGGCTAATTGCAATAATCTGGGCCCTGGCCTATGCTTATCTCACTGTGTTAGATAGTGGAGGGCAGCAGACAGAGGCAGGGGGGCAGGGAGATAAATCAGCTATCCCAGTCACTCAAGCTGTAGCCAACAGCCCAGGCTCAGAGCCAGCAGCTAGACCAGACAGTGAGCCTAAGCCAGCATCTAAACCAATGGCTGTTGCTACCAGCACTAGAAGTGGGAAACGCACAGAAAAAACTAATCGACCAGTGGATGATGATGATGATGATGGTGATACAGGAGAAGGAACATAAAATCAGGAGTCAAAGCAGCAGGTGCAAGATCAGACGCAAATATTGAGTCTTATTCCCTGAAGGACCTTCATGGCCCAAGGAAGGATTACACCCGACGACCTGATGAATCCATAATTAGTTGGCTGGTCCGTCTCTGGGATGCTGCAGGTGAGGCTACAATTCTGGATGGCACTGAAGCAAGGCATTTGGGATCCCTGTCACAGGATCCTGTCATTGACCAAGGAATGATGAGCGGGGCTAACCCTCACAGCCTCTGGGAACGGGTCCTAGGAAGTGTAGCACAAAGGTACCTGTGTGCAGACAATCTCTATATGCAGCAAATCCAGTGGAAAACCACAGAACAAGGGATTCAACGCTTGAGGGAAATGGCAGTGGCTGAGATTGTCTTCTCAGATGATGGAAACACTGTAAATCCAGACTTGGTACCATGCACATCTGTGATGTGGAGAAAACTTGTACGACTTGGGCCACGAGAATATGTTTCTGCTTTAGCAAAATGAAGCAGGATGATGGTGAGGAGACTGTGCTGGATGTGGCAAAGAAGCTCCGAGCATATGCAGATGCTGTACATCGCCCAACACATGCCAGAATTGCAGGGGTGGAAACACGTCTGCAAAAATTAGAAGAAAGATGGAGGAGGGTCACAAGAAACTGAGGGAGGAGATTAAAGAAGGCTTTCTCCAAATCTCGGCAGTACAGATCAGAGGTTCTGGTACCCAATGCAGGCGTTCCCCAGATGATGAGAGAAGGTACACCCCACGAGCTGAGCTGTGATTCTACCTACGTGATTGTGGAGAAGACGTGGGGAGATGGCATAGAAAACCTACCACTGCTCTGGCACAACGGGTACGTGAACTGAAGACTCAGAGAGGAAGTTCCAAAAGGGAAGCAGCTCCAGTGGCCAGTAACCGAACTGTCACATATGATGATAATGACAATATTTTTGATCCCCTTGAAGGAACCTCCAAGACATATGCGCAGGGAAAGAAGGATAACCAGGCTTAGAGGGGCCCTGCCTCTAGCCTGGTAGAGGCTGGGGAAAACCGTGTTTTTTGGACTGTGTGAATTCGTTGACTTGGCACATCTGAACCACAAGAATACAAAGCTTTGGTTGACACTGATGCACAATGTACATTAATCCCATCGAGACATGTGGGGACAGAGTCTGTTTCTATTGTTGGTGTGACAGGGGGATCACAGGATTTTACTTTGGTAGAAGCTGAGGTGAGCCTGACTGGAAATGAGTGGAAGAAACACTCTATTGTGACTGGCCCAGAGGCCCCATGCATTTTAGGCATAGACTTCCTCTGAAGTGGGTATTTCAAAGACCCAAAAAGACTTAGATGGGCATTTGGAATAGCTGTTGTAGAGACAGAGGGTGTCAAGCAGTTGAACAGCTTGCCTGACTGTCAGAAAGCCCATCTGCAGTAGGTCTCCTGAAGGTGGAAGAGCAACGAGTACCAATTGCCACCTCAACAGTGCACCACCAACAGTACTGAACGAATCGAGATGCTGTGATCCCCATCCACAAAATGATGCGTGAGCTGGAGAGCC